TGTTAATACTGGTTCAAATCCGAGATTTCAATTAGGTTGAAGGTATGTCGTCTATACATGGTGGTTAAATAAATAAAGGTAATCAATAATTGCCCTCTGTATACAAAGTACAGGATTTTTAGGGGGTGTTTATCATCATCTCCGTCCATACGCGCCAGCGCTGTTCAGATCCTTGTTCCCAACGCGACCAAGTCGCCAACAGGAGTTCATTGATAGACTGGTACGTCACCCCATCTCTCTTGTGTAGGAAGGAGTTCCAGCAGCTTGACGCAGTCCCATGGGCTGTCAATGCACGAATCGTGGTTTCAGTATTTCTGTACTGGATCATCATTATATTTTGTGGTCTGTGCACCTTGAAATATTCGATTGCCGTCCTCTTGAAAATCTGGCCTCGTCCATTCGCTTAGTGGTCTTTCAGTGTTCTAGACAGCTTTCCACTCATGCCATTGTGGAGAGGACTTCCATCCTCGGTTCAAATTTGAATAATGGAAGATTTCATTCTCCTGTTCTCCCGATCTACCTGGCTGGAACCTACGAACTGGCTCATTAGGTTACGAGATCTTCTTGATCGCCAGCATCTCCGGTCCAGCACACTTGTAGCTGGATGGCTCCCCTGTTTAGGGGCAACCATGTTGGAGGAGATATCATGACTCCGCACCAAGATAAATGATTGGACGGTTTTTGCTTGGAGAATTTAGCGAGACCTCGAGAGCAGTATCTTTACTTCCTGCAATTTTGTGGTTTAGTAAAGTGAGAACTTGCCTAACTGCAAATTTCGGATTTATGGGCTGTCTTTTGCACGAGGATATTAGATGACGGTGGAGCTGTCAACGAAGCCATTGGTTAAGAGTGGTTTAAACAAGTGTGTTTAGGCAAAATTTTGTATGTTCCATTAAATATTTCCCTGCCTGTATAATCCACACTCCTTCAGAGCAGTATTCAGCGACCAACAAACCTCTCAACAAGTGACAAATATTCACAGTTCCGCTTGTTCTGTAAAATTTGTGAGGGATTATGATCAATTTCGTTCAAACTAACTATATCCATCAGGCTGTAGAGCGAGAATGCCAGCCCGTACAGTACAAACGGTCGATTCACAAAAGTCATTAAATACTAGCAGGTTTAATTTGGATAATTTTCAGGCAACTTTTTTTATTTTTACACGTGAGACACTCTGGAAACCAAAAAATGAAAGCGAGGGTAGCAGGAAGTGTTAAAATATTGTTCGTGTTGTCCAGGAATCTGTTTACTGAGTTGTTTTACTGTGCTTTGAATCTGGTTAGGTGCACTTTCAAAATAACAATATTGTTTGGACACATTCTATATTTAGTACGGCTTAAAATTATTTAGAATTTACAAATGAAATCCTAAACTTGTAAATATTTATGCATTTTGGCCGAAATCATGGTTAATCTCAAAATCAGAGGTTTAGTTATCAGACCTGAAAGTGTTCGCACAATTTACAAGTACACATGGTTGTATTTAAAATTGTAATTTCTCATTTTCTAAGATCTATTCTAAAAAATACTGGTGATTTCTTTAAGATTTTTGCCCCAAATCTCTGTTTTAGATCGATTGAGACGTTAAAGTGGCTGAATCAATTGCCAAAATCGATTCACCAAGTCGCAGCACGATCGATCTTACCTGCTATCGATTACTGAAGCACGGCACAACTAACCACGGAAACGTGCATGTCGCTCCATCCTACAACACAGGGTTCCCCTTTTTCGCAGCATAGTGCCAGCAGCACGGATCCTCAACTCCCCCCTCATTCGCACGAATATTTAACTTGGATTATCCTCACACCCAGGTCGCGATGTCAGCGCGTCTGATTCACACATCTGAGGTATAAGTACACACGCGCAAGCCCCACACACCACCACGGCTTAGTCAAGTCCGCGAATAAACGGTTTACTCTCTGTCCTTCCCACAGACTTCATCCTTGTTGGGTAGCTAGTGGCATATGGCGTGGTAACAAAGCTTTCCGAATAAGGTGGTTTGTCTGTATATCTGGCAAGCAGTTTGGCCAGGGCTAAATCCGACACTAATGACACTTGAAACCAACTTTTCAGCTAACTTGCTGGAAGAATAGACATGTCACGTTGTGTTACCAAGTAGGGTAACTGATGGCGATCATCACGCCTACGTGAGCTGCATTCAAAATAATTGTCCTGTCTTGGCTTTAGCGATCGTTCCCCTGGGTGCTTCGTGTCGCCCACTGTAGCAGCTCACGATGAAAATTCTGTCAAATCGGCATGCAGTCGGTCGGCCACCTTAGTAATCATTCCAATGCTCAACTTGTTCGTACATAATTTCGCTCACACCAGTTTGATGGTGACGTTCGATACGATGGTTGGTTGTTCCAGAGTGTTAAATAATGCTTTAATAACTGACCAATCGGAATTCAGTTTCAACTCTACCTTGTTTAAATTTGAAGCGGATTCGCATGCTTGTGTTTACCTTTTGGCCCTTGGGAACGATGTCCCCGTAATTCGCACAACCAAACGACTTCTGTGCTCCGTTTGATGCAAATGTCTGCATATTTTGGCGAAACTACACGAATCTGAAACGCGATAATTCATATAATCGCTGCAGTAACATCGCCGGTGCCAAAGAATAAGACAGCTTGTTTGCGTCTACCTGCCTGGACAGTAACTAGGACAAGCTTCATCTCATTTTTGCAAAGATTTTCAAAATGTCATTATTATTCACTAAATCTCGAAAAGATATGGGGAATTCGGTCTACAAAGTAAGGTGGCCATGGAGAATTTTTGACATCGATCATTAATGGAAGAGGGCTTGTCGATTCGTCCATGAGTATTGATTGGGTTAGATTGTTTGCTGGAAGAGATGATTGGTTAATATGGGTGTTTGACAACGGTGATGATTGGTCATCGTGGTGTGTTAATCGACTTGATTGGACGACACCGATGTTTGATCGCCATCGCTGCTCCAGTGAATAGCATTTGATTTGCAATTTTAGACCAGATCCAATTCACAAAAGTTCCGTTTTTGGCCTACCGATCAGACAAGAAAGCAAGCAAACACAGAGATTAGTCTTTTTAGCTACTGGTTCAAACGTGAGCTTATAGACTTTACAAAGAACGCATTTACCGTTTAGACAACAGACCTGTCTGAATGTCAGCGTATAACTCTTTTTTCCGAATAATTCCTTCTTAAATGTATGTCGAAACAGTGAAAAAAAGGAGCGTGCAACACAATTGAGTAACAGAAGTTTCCGAAGTAAGCCAGTTTATGATAAGGTTGTTTTTGTGTGGAAATTCCTCCTGTTCACCCCTTCATATATACGCTAGTAGTTTTTTTTATGAATGAGAGAATGTCAGGGCGTAGATTTGGCGCCGCTGATAAGTACCGGCAATAGTAATAACAATTACCTAGAATCAGTGAGAAATGCGGCTATAAAGCTCTTTCGACTATTGGCTTGACACAAGTGGATCTAATCTGTAGTGAGCAGCTGACGCCACCCGTTGTTGTAGATCGCAGCCTCATAAATTTGAACAGTTTGCTCGAAGTAATGTCTGTAAATTTAAACACAATCTCGTGCACCCGGTAGAAATGAGGCTGCCAGATCACCTAGGGATATAACGATGTCATCAGTTTCTAAAATTCAGTTTCTATGAAGTAAAGAACGCGACCAGATCAGCAAACTCCTCTAGTATCCACTAAGTACACTTGAACAAATGCCACTGTGCTGGTAAGCTGATTGTGCCACCTAACACTTGCCAGAACTACAGATGGGCATCTTTTTTCCACGTAAATGCGTAGATTCAGGTGTTTTGCATTCATGGCCTACGATCACATCCACACGCGCGCGCGCGCACACACAGATAAACTAATCGCCAGTACTTGCAAGGCTGAGAAAAACGCCGAATTAGATGTGCTGAGGATCTGTTGGAACTGTTTGCAACGGGAGTGGAATGGAGGTGCGCTACCACAAAATAACCCCGGTTATCGTCTGTGGAGAGAAATGTGGTTAGGCATGCCATCACTACCTACAGGTTTGAAATCACAGTTTGGTACTGTCCACGGGTATACCATCGAGGGTTCTAAAAGATCCATCATCTACTAAGTTTCCACAACCAATCAACCATTGATGGCTGCCTATGTAGCAAACTCAAATGTCCGCCATCTCTATCAACGCATGTCCAGTCACTGAATAAACGTTTACTTATTCTTCTCTGAATAACTGCGTAGTTCAATGTAACCTCAACACTCACGAGCAAGAAAGCCTTAGAAAGAGGCCATTTTGTCCACGTTATCGTTAAATCCGTCTTCCTTCTCGTAGTAGCATCGCATTCTGCAGGACTTGCATAAAAGAAATATCCCATCATCACCCTACTAGCTGGAAAGTCGTTCGTTCTATCAATAGGTTACAAATTTATTGTGAATGTCAACAGGGACTACGGATCTTGGTAGAACGCGGCGTATCAGCAGTTACCACAACACCTTCAAGGAGGCGATGGTGAGTTTCAGGGAATCGTGCACTCTGGAAATCAAATTACACAGACACATTTGCCTTTTTTCTTAGCGACCGAATGTAAACTGGAATTCCGACCGACTGCCCACGCAGGCGTCATCTTTAGCTCATTCATCCCGCTCAAATCACTTAGAAAATACTTGCTCAATTGATTAGCAGATCAGAGGGGATGGAGGCTTTTTTAGTCCTTTTGAAACGAATCGATGCCAAGGCACAGCCGTTGGAACGAGAATGGCTCCAGTTAGTTAATAGCCGGTTGAAAGACACCGATGCTAATCGAATGCGTGCCTGTGCAATAAACCTCGCAACTAACTTCCACGAAATGTGTGTGGGTGTGTGTGTGCCGAGGCGAAATGCGACCGCTTGGTCGACTCCCACACTCTCTGATGATTCACACATTGGATTTTATGGGTGCCAAAGTGTGCTTTCCCACAGTGACCCTCTGGGCCACCAATAACACAAAAATGGGTGAACTTTCTCTTCTGACGCCTTTTTTTCTGTTTCACCCAAAAACACACTTCAGACGGTCCAAAATCTTTCCCGCCTCATCGGCTCCGTAGTGCAGGGTCATTATACTCCGCACGGTCGCTTCGGCGTCAGCGTTGCTAGGGCCGCCAATCGCCTTGACAACGCTCGCCAACTTGACAACCTCCCATGCGTACTCCGTGCTGGTGGCGCCGAATCGCGCCTTGACAAACGACGCCGATTCGGTGGTTAGTTTGAGAGCGAGCTTTTCTGCCTCCGGCGTGGGATTGACGTCGTTGTCCAGGAGGCGGTGGGCTGTCTCGTCGACGATTTCACCGTACGAGGGTTCAGGTGGGATGGTCAAGGTGGGCGAAGCGAGTTCCTTCAATTCCTGAATCAATCCTGGGAGTTTGCACAGCGGTGTTTCCACAAATCGGACCTGCATGAAGACGCGAAGAATTTAAGGAATGCGCGAACTCGCGGACCTACAACAGTGCCCCAAACTAACGGTGTGCAGCGGAGACGAAATCCGATTGGTTACCCCGTGAAGCCAAGGTCGCGGCGGAACCCGTTAGGAAATTTGACACGAAAGAGTTGGTGCCAGTTGTAATGGAATGCGCTAGGAGGCGGTGCCTGAACGAAAAGCAATCAGGCGTCTTTAGCGTAAAGGTCATTCCATAAAAACGCCGTTAGCACAACACACTTGATGTGCCCATGTGACGTGTACGCGAAACTAGCACACCAAATCTGGTCGTTTTCTTGGCCGCCTTCGAGCCCAGTTTTGTTGGGTATTAACTGTAACAATCATACGTGATAAATTAGTTCATTGAAGATTGTTCGCTTCGAAAAGGCACTCCGTTTACGGTGCATCTTCTAAATACTGGTTTTCTGCTTTCAGTGAGTTTCGTTCAAGCCTCCAGAACAGAGACATTTAGACTAATTCTTACACGCGAATTCCATTAACTTGTCAACGCCACCTGCGCACGACACATGCCCCTTTGCAAGCCACATTCCTTCACAACAAGAATGAATGTACTACTTAGATGCGAGACATAGTAGTACAGCAAGAGCCAAGTTCCAGTGGCACTTGCCTCCTCAACCAACTTGGCCCACCGAGCCGATTGGGCGGAGGAGAGGGTGGCTGGTTTGCGGACATCAGCGGCGGCGGAGTCACAGTGCGGGCAGTTGCACTCGAAGAAGTACTGTTCTTGGAGGGCTCTGCGACGCCACTCGGGATCGGGGTTGTGCAGATAGTGCGGTCCGTAGCAGGCAAGCACCTCGTCTCCCGGTCTCAGATCTCTGACGCAGCGGAGGACTATGAAACCGTTCTGAAATACGAGTGAGTTTGCGCCATTGTGGGATTCAACGCAGAGAGAGAGGGAGAAAGCCAATCTCACCACAAACAAACCAGAGCGTCTTTACGGCCATCCAGTTCGATTTCTTTAACCGACAAAAGTTGACAGTTTCAAGCGATTTTGGACTTTTGTTCGGTTCCGGTGCTGGGACGACTGTAACATTTGCCATGTTATTTCCGCGTAACTCCTATTTTACTATAATGATCACTGTTCATCTCCCAAGTCAGCAGTTTATGCTGTTTACTGTCATAATGTTTATTTTTTAGGATAACACGTGAGCTTCTCTACTTTCCGAATCTTCTTTGATGTTTTATTCCTTTCCGGCGTGTCTGTCTGCTAGGGTTTAAGTCGCTACAGTTATTTACAGCCAAGGACACGGCTTGGGAAAGTCGAGAAGTCTACAGAAAAGAAACACCCGTCCACGATTGGACGGCAAAAAATGGTGCGGCAAATTTAAAATTGGCGCACTCCGTTCTGGCTGTCCACCTGACCTCGAAGAAGACTGAAGAAGTTGGTATAATTGATGGAAGCGCGGATGCTACATGACTTAAATGGGAAACAAGTAGCATCGCCGTTTCCCCATTCGATTCAAGTTGGTTGGGCGACAGAAGGTCGCCGAAAATCAAGATTCCTGCACATAGCATTACTACTGACGACACGAACTGGTGCTTCTGTATGCATTTTAGGCAAAGGAAGCACCTGGTGAGCAGGTCAGTATGAGTAAGCAACGTCGAGAGTCAACGAGGGTCTTCAACCTCATGAGGCGGAGATTTGAGTGCGGTGGGACGTTGAAACAATGCCCGAAGTGCTTAATTTCTAAGGTTGGGTAGTTTGAGAGTATGACGATGTTATTCAACGACCTCGCGTTGTCGAATGTATGGCATTGTTGTGAATCGTGCTTATTCACACCCCTTAATCCGGTCGCTCCACCTCCGACACAGGGTTCCTCTGCATCGCAGCATGTCGCCAGCCGCGCGGATCCTCAACTCCCCCCTCATTCACACGAATATGTATCTTGGATTATCCCCACACCTAGGTCTCGATGTTAGCGCATGCATAACTCACACATCTGAGGTATAAATATACACGCACAAACCCCACACACGACACCAACGTAGTTGAGCTCTGAAGTAAACGGTTGTGTCCACGTCCTCTCCGGCCTTTTCCTTCATCGCGGGTATCAGGGAAGCGTAATCGGACCTGGGTTAATTCCGTGGCCCCGGCGTGATTCAAGACCACATGCTGGGGTCCACAACAGCATGAAATTACACTGCGCTAATAACCTCAAGAATTGACCCGTCAACTTCTTCGGGACAAGACTCAAGGGGTAACGATGGAAATCGTTAGCAATACGTGGAGTCCACATGAACTTGACATCACTGTCACCCTGTAATGAGGCTGATTTCGTTCAAAATTTCCACCGTGTCTAGAATTCAACACATTTGACTAAAAGCCCGCTAGCCGATGTTTCGTTTGGCGGTCAGGTATGCCGTTGCCTGCAGCAGAAAGTGCGTTAAGTGTACTTAAGTACGTCCGCTTTCAATCACGTGTGAATACAACAACGCGGCGATTTCAGAAACCAGCGCTCACGGCTAGGCAAACAGTCGCAACTGATTGGCGTGGCGAGAGTAGAGACTTGCGCACTGCGGGTCTTACAACCAGACAACAACCGCAAGCGTAAATTGCTCTGTGAGGATGCGCAAACGAAGCCTTAATTTGACGACTTTACAAACTGCCAAAAGGCAAGAGTGAAGAAGCAAGGTTTGCGATTTGGGTCGCAGGAAATCTACAAGTCACGGCGTGGTCCGTTTCAAATAAGGAAATGCGACCGCATGAAGAAGCTGGGGCAACTAAACGTAACCTGATAATTTTTTGAAACAAGGTGGGACTCCACTTCACCGGAACCTCACGACGCTGACGTATCACTGAGTAACATTGCCGGATTTATGGAGAAAACGTGCAGGTAAATGACAGGAGCTACTTAGACTTGATGCGCGCGTCTCACGTAGCATTGCACAGGAAACACGTCAACAATTAAGTCCACTGAATGCATTTACTAAGTAGAAGTTTTTTTCACCTATTGGGCTCTGCGTCTGTCAGTTATCCTGCCACCGAGTTAATTTAACCACTCAAATCGTGGAAGATATCATCGTCGACACAATCCCCAGTGAACCCACGTCAGTTTCACTGACAAAGCCAGCATAATTAGCACCTCCCCGTGTCTTTCTCTCTCCGGCTTTCTCACAAAATTGCTAAATGTCAGGGTGGAGGCGTGAAGTTTTTAGCCTCACACACACACAGGTGTCGGGAATGTCGACTCGCTAGGAATGTGTGTGCGCCCACGCGCGCCCAAATCAACAAACGCGCGTGTTTTAACCGTTGCATCCAACACACCCTCCGCCTTCTTTCAACTCTCAGGGGTAAAAATCCGCGGCAAACGACCTCTTCGGTTCATGGGGCAGGCAAAAAACCAGTAGGGACTTGTGGTCTAAGCACCACCTTAAAACCCTCTAGTTAACAGCCCGCAACAACCCGAGAATGGAGTGAAGAGAGGCCACAGAGGACACGACCGTTTATTAGCGTCACGCCAGCCAAGTGTGTGGATGAGTGAACGGAAGACAGTAACCAATGGGAGAGGGGATGAGTCATTGTCACCGACAAGGTCAGTAAACGGGGTTCACTCAGGCGCGATCGCTGTTGATCCGCTAAAAACATTCCAGCCTATCTGAGCTCTACCTATAACACTTGCCACGCTATTGCCGTATAACCCCCTTGTTTTACTATACTGGTTTCGTTGGAATACAATTTAAATTGAACATTAGTGGTCAGCATCCATTATTGGTTGTGTACATTTGCTGGTTACGCCGTTTCTGGTGCTGTCCGTTGTACAAAGGTAACCAGGCTTTTCTAAAGATCATCGCGTTTTGCACTTGATAATTTTGCAGCATTTCTGATTTTTTTTATAATTCGACTGAAACGCCAATGAAAGTGGTTTAAACTAGCCAAAAGTTGTTCTTAAAAAAACTCATCGTAGTGGAACAGCATTTTGAGGTACAAGCTTACAGCAAATATGCGAAATGGGTACTGCAGTTTTCACTGCGGCTATTAAACAATATTTGCGAAGATTATAAACCACAACGATGCATATACAATACTTAAAAGGGCGGTAGTGGTAACCGTTGTTTAAATTAGTCACTGATTTACTTGAATATTAAAACAACGATTACTGATGAAAATAACGCCAACACAGCAGCTTTATTGACGATTTTGCATCATTCTCTCCAAGATTCATGCCCAAAAGACACCTTGATGTGGCATTTTACATATTTTTCGTCCAAATAATTCTGTCCGGCAATTGCACTTAAAGTAAACACTTCAAATGACTGTAAACGAGACAAATGTACAGCGTTTTGCGCAAAAAATCCCAATGCAGTTTCAAAACCACAGCAAAAACTTACTGCGACAGAATAAACACCCACGTATGCATGGAGAACAGACGAATCCATTGTCGATTGAGTTTCGTGTGAATTATTTCAAGCTAAATTCTTTTACACCGACACCTTTAAGTTTAATTCTACTAACTTGGATTCGTGTAAAGCTACAAAATTTCTGTTCAATTGTGCAAATTTAACCACGGTTTCGCATACTCTCTCGTGTGGATGTGCAGCGACGAATGAACAGTGAGAAATGTTCGTGAAACAAACGAATTCGCTTAAAACGAAGAAAGGGGCTGTGTAGATGACAAGACAACAGCACGCTGAATCCAGCCTAATATAAAATTTTCGAACATTGGTTGTGTGAGTTACTAAAGAATCGGCTAGTCATCAAATAGGTAGGCATGAGGGTTTTAGTAGATTAGCTTAAAAGTGAACCCACCATGAATTGGTAGGTGATGTTTGATTCACAAGAGTGATTAATCAACGAGACCGCGGGAAACAGGCCACAGCCAATCCGCTCCTGCCGAAATCCCGCCAGCCTAGACGTCGCGACGTCGACTCCCAGTGTCGTGTTGACCTCCGTTAGGGCGTGGGCGTTGCACTGCAGTTGTCGCAGCACCTGGAAACACCATTCACCGCAATTTGGCAGACCGACGTACTCCAATAGGGAGCCACAAAGCCATCCAGTCAGAGCGTACTCAAACAACGAGGGGAAAAGATGAAAATTATCGATCAAGGTGTCTAGTGAGGTCTTTATTCCGGCTCCCAAGACACCTCGAAGAGTCGCCAGGCGGTATGACAGGTGACCGAGTCCTATCGAGTTGAGTAAAAATATAAACCTAGATCATAAAAACACAAACACTACTATTACTAAATTAGTAGAAAAGATATTTTCTTGTCCTTAATGCCGTACCCGCACTCATCCTTATGCCACTGGGGGACATTGTAGTGGCCAGAGGTAAAGCGCTTCGCGAAACACCTTGAAGGTGGCCCACAAAATGCCGCGTCGTTGCAGTTTGGGCAGACGTAGCCGACGCTCGAGAGACGATTGTGGCACGCGAAACAGCGTTTGTGTCGTTGAGACGGCAGGAGGATGCAGGAGGCCACGGCGCGCTCCTCTACCGGCGGCACGCGCGGTGATTGGCTAGCGGCGGGCCAACCACCTGCCGGCTCGCTGGCTAGCACGTCGCCCGCAGTGAATTCGCCTTCACACACGACGTACCGCCCTTTTTCGGGGGACTTACGAATGCCCAGGCGGCTTGAAAATGCATGCACCTAAAAAACGCACGGTCAAATGGAAACACGGATATTGCGTATTTACTACTTTAGTCATTTAAGTAGCGTGCCTTTTCGTGGCGACCGTATTTCGGGACTGCCAGGACAATCTCCCCATAGCGTTCACCGGTTCCATGCGAAGAAGACGTTACCCCACAGTATTTGGTTATCCAAGTAAAGCAGTCTTCGCTATCTGTTGGAACATCTTGACCCAGTTTGTTGCATGCATCCCTCAGTCTCGCCTGTAGGCGTTTTCTGATTGGGCCGTCAAGGTCATTGTGGAGCCTCAGGGCAAGGCAAGTTTCCCACGCGCACGCAGCCCACTCTGATTGGTGCCTTAGAGTCGCTGAAAGGTTGCCATGGAGCAACGCCGCCTCCTTGGAACCAGTGTGCCAATCAAAAGCATTGGGAGTGAAGAGAAGACCTTGACGATAGCAATCAGCCGCACCATCGTATTCGCCAAGGCTTAATTTAAACCAAGTTGCAATTAAAGGAACACTCGGCAAGCGGCAGTTCTCACTTCTGACAATAACCAACGCTGGAGAGTCTGATTGGCTAACGGCGCGTCACCTAAGAAACACTCATTCAAACAACAAAATGGCAGAGAAGGCAATCATCAAAAGGCAAATTGACGAGGCTAGTTAGTGCATTGACTAGTAACTTAAATATTTTAAATTAAATTTAGAGATACTATTTGAGTGCACTCACGCGAACAGCTTATTCCCCTGTTCTCGAAAATTTCTAGCTTTCGCGGCACTTTTAAAGTCGACGCCACCAGTGTGCAAATCGAGTACAAAGCTCTGGAGTTTGCGCAGCGATTGGCTACTGTGGCGTCCCTCAGCGTACTGTTTAACACGCAAGTAGTAGTCGGCAGGCGAGTCGTGGTGGCTCAGGACACCCAAGGGGTCACCCAAAGCCTCGATGTGCTGCATCTCGGCTGACAAGACCCGCGTCCAAAGCGAGCTGGTTGCTGGACTTGCCTCTGTGTTGAACCCCTTAAAGTCGGAGTTTGCCTAAAATTCAAAAGACATGGCTAGGTCTACGTTTTATGCATGAAAACATGAGTACTAACTACCCAAACTTCCTGTAAATAGTCGACCCTTGGAACTAACAACTCGAACTAGCGACATGCTTACTAAACAATAAAATCTAGGAGCGATACCGAACAGAATTAACTCCCCTTTGCATTTATTATAAAGCAGTGTAGAGACTAAAAGTACTGAGTGTAACAAAAAATAACTTTATTCGTGGAAACAAAGTAGCCAAGTGACTAATTTACAGAAAGATTAGGCGGAATCAGTGGGGTTCTGGTTTGTGTCCATCGACGTAAAGGTTACGCGTTCCCGGGGGCAGTTCAACTTCAAGTCCGTCGAGTTCCTTGGAGAGGATAATTTGACAAGCTAAACACAAAATGTCTAAATTTTAAAAAAACACATAAAATCGGGTAAGTGTTGACATGACTAAAATAACCAAATGGCCTACGTGATGGAAAAGCCATATTACGGCATCTTGGAGGATAAACACAACGTTTTCTTCCAGAAACAAATATTACGCCTAATCTTTTGCTAAACAAATATTCCTTTACTGCATTCGCAGTCCTTTTTTGAACAAATGGATTAGGAAAAATTGGATTACTGGGCAAACTGTGTGCAGAAAATAGCATAGTACACTTCCCAACGCCGAGGAAATGGATGCTGCATTAAAATGCAGACTATGTGTTACAGGTACTTAATGAAATTAATGATGTGCTAAAAAGGAGTACAGAAGAGCTTTAGGAAGAAGAACGGGCATACCAAGCCTCGAATTGGGTTTCAGGAAGGGAGCAAGGTCCAGCATGTCGTTTTCTTCATCAACAGGTTCAGGCAACTTATCCAAAAACTCCTCGTCAACGTAAACATGGCAGGTAGAACAGGCTAACGATGCCTCGCAGGCACCTTCCAATTCAATTTCATAGCGATGGGCAAGATACATCAAGTTGTCATTAACTTTGCCAGCGACACAGGTTCTTGTTCCGTCCTTCTTTTTAAAAACCACGTTAACACTAAAACGAATCTTCATTGGTAAATAAAAATAGTTACATATCTTCAGGGGAATCAGGATCTTTCCATTCATAGCGTCCATTACATTTTACAACTGAAAAAAATTACGCATCATTGGATATTGCAAATTAGGATAACCTACTAGAGATCATAAAGTGCCGAACTTGTGAATAACTCAACCGAGCTTGGAAATGCTTGAAAATTTGAAAAGTGCGTTGCAAAATCATCAATAAATGCCCATAACAAACCACAGAATAAAGAGACCAAACGCACACTAAGGGAAAAACAAAAGGCGCCTTCTGACATACGGCCTTCGCTATTTCTACGAAGAAATTAAACAAATCGTAGGATAAATGCTGAAAATGAGGAGTTCTTTAAGTTAACAGCTAAATGTTTTTGGAACCTTAAACACACAAAGAATGGCGTAGCAAACTGACAATGCAGCAAGGGATCCCTAATAACTATAAAATGCGACCATTTATGGCCATTTTTTTAAAACCGAGGACGATTAAATGCTTGCGTTTCGCCAATAAAATGATTATTTTACTTTTAATAATTTTAATGTTTACTTTTACAATTAAACCTTTTGCAGGAGTATCTTGACTTATTGCAAATCTATGATTTTTTTAATACAGCATTTTTCTGCATTTTTAACACCAATTCAATTCAAAACACCAATATTTGGCATTTCGTTAAATAAATTATGTTTTCAAATTTTGAAAAAAAGCTTATTTTCCTCAAACTTATGGATCGCCTAACTAATTTATCGTAGTTTAGCAAGTAAATATGCCTTTGGTTTGCCCGGGAGTTGGGCTTCCAATCCATTCAATAAAATTAGTCAGTCCCATAAATGAATATCTGGGAACTTTTGAAAAGGGTTGAATTCATTAATTAAAGTCTCCTCTCAATTGTTTAAATTGCGATATAATAAGTATCGACAGCTGATTTAGACCTCAATGAAGAGACATTACTGGAAAATACCCTGCGTCTGAATATATTTAGTTGTTAAGATAGATTCGGGACTATAATATCTTCTACCGTTAAAAAGTAATGGCTTTCGATGAGTTGATTTAGCCAAATTATGTCCTTGAGTTGGAAAGTGCTTGCCATGGTCGCTCACTTGCCACGATACATCACTTCAATTTATGCAAAATCTATTTATGGTACACAATTAAGGATGATATTTATGCATCGTTATTGGCCATTTCTGGTTATTTTCGGGACTTTTGACACATAAAATAAAGTAAACGGTTGTGCATTCATTTACTTACACAAATGCGCTGCATGCAAACAACGAAATGCATGGTGGTATTAAGCGGACTTTTGAACAAACGTGCATTTTATTCGCCAATCTTGCATAGTAACCTAAGCTGTCTATATAGGCGAAACCAATCAGCGTCAGTTCCCGTCATTTCATATTTCGTTTGCCACCTCGTTATTTCATTTGTCTGCTGTAATTAACCTACGTAAATAGGTACTTTATTTGTCAGTTGACTTCAGAATAAGTCAGCACGATCGGAAGACTTGTCTATTTTGCACATAAATACGACTTTATTTAGGTTTATTATGGCAATTTAATCTAAAAATGATATATTGCAACTGTTATAATGTACTTTGAAGAAACACATCCTCACAGAATGCATCAAATTTCAAATTTAGCATTTTACAGTGCTATAAGATCCATTGGGAAAGTGTATCAAAGAGGACGATACAAGTAATTACGCAAGATCCCGATGTTTCAGTATGATTGAAGGATCTTTAAGTTTTTAACACTAACACTGCCATTCCACACGCCCTAAGGACTTTCTCAGGAAAGCGACATCTTAACTGAGTTCAAAGTATCTGAAAGCCTTCTACACAAGAAACGTAGTACATTCCCAAGTTATTACAGTCGTTGACACGCCAATCTATCCAATACAGAATCACACGCCTTATAAAATGGATTAACTCATACACTAGCGACTACTAAGCCAATTTAGGAGTGCTACGTGAGTTCGGAAACGACAGTCTCTTAATCAACAACGCCTTGTGGATCAAATTAAAAATGCAAATTAACAAAATACCACCATCCCGTACCAGACCATGTGGGACAAATAAACGAGAACTAGTTAAATGTGCAAGACAACAACGGTCAAGTAGACAAGGTTAGAGATTGCTTAGAGGGTGATTGAAACACGCAGAAGGCAGGTGGGCGTGAGGGAGCGCGCGCGCACACACAATTAGGCCTCCTGCTCCACCTTGAACGCCGAACTCGGCAGGTACTGGTGAGCCACCTCCGCTGTCGCCTTCTGCAAGGCCGCCGCCTCCTTGCGCAACTTCTCAGGGGTCATCATTATCACTAAAACAAGCAAGATAAAAAGGACGATGAGTCAGCGTCCGAGGAACGATTCTGTGTTGTCAGCGCACCACTTACGAAATCCCACGTTGCGCAAGAAATGAAAGAAGTCCAACGCTAGCTTATCCGGATCCTCTTCCATTAGAAAACCATTGCAATCGGGCACCTAAAAGAGGAATCTGAGACATTACCATCGACTCGTCAAACCAGAGGGGTGGCAAATCGCTCACGGAAGTTGACGTCTAACCCACCAGCAGGAATTGCGTCGTGCGGGGATTCATGCGTCCGTTGAGATCCGCCAGGGCCCGCGACAGGTCCTGTGCCAGTGAACCCGTAACCAGGCAACAGTCAACCTTGATTTCCGTCGGTGGTCCTGCCGCATCAGGTCCAGCTTCGCTCTCGCGTTGTTTGACCACGCCAGGTGGATCCGGAGAGCGGACTAGACCGAGGTCGGTGCGGTTGATGTAGGCGTCGATGTAGCCCGCCAGATTGACCGGATTCAGGCTGCGGGCCAGCTGATTGTAGAAGGCCACCAAATCCTCGTTTTGGCAGCAGCCCTTTTAACAAGAAATAGGGCACATTTAACTATCGGCTCGACATTCGCCACCGAAGTAGTCGAAAGCTGCCACACCAAATGCGCAATTTAATTGCCAGCACCAGCTCTGTATCGATTCTGCAGATTTTTATAGCCCAGTGTCTTCAAGTAGCGTGCGCACTTATTCAGAATGTCACCAATTCTTGATTCATGGCCACGCAGAAAATAAGCTGTACTTTAACATCGGAATGCAACTAACACGTTCCACTTAGGCTAAATTAATATTTGTCTGAGTTTGCTATTGACAATCCTGGCAAGTCCAACATTCCGAGGACAGGAATTCCAACTTATTTACACAATTCACGAAAGTGACTGAAGATGTGATTTTAAACAATATCTACTACTAATGGAATGCTGCGATTCGATTGGGTCGATATGAGCCAATCACAAATCGTGTCAGAGATTAAAAATAATTGGCGCCTAGCACAAAATCAAAACAAACCAATGATTCGACTTCACATCGATCGAACTAATAATTGCGGAAAAAATAGTCAAGTGCCAGTTTAAACAGACAAAAAAAACTCACAAATCCGAACCAATGAGCTTCGAGTTGATCGAGCAAGTTGTCTGTGAAAATCCCGCGTTGGAGACTGGGCAGATCGGACCAACGATTGCGGAACCACTCGTAGTAGCCGTGGGTGGTGCCGTTGGGGTTTATCAGGAAAAGGGCCGATACTTTCTCTGGGTGGTGAAGCTACAAATAACACACACACGTGACAAGGCCAGTGCACTCGGATGAGGAGATAATGCAGCAAAAAAACTTACGGCAAAACGCGCAAGCACGTTGGACCCAGCTCCCATTCCGAATCCGACGAAGCACTTCAACCTCAAATAGAAATGAAACGCTCATTCGATCTGCTAATTTTGAGGGAGTTTGGCTTTGTCACCGAACACAAATTCGATCAGAACTTACTTGAAGTAGTCAACAACAGAGGTGAGCATTTCCGCCAACTCGTCCATTGTTGGATATTGGTTGATCTGACTAGAAAATATAACAACCCAATGTAAGTGCTGGCGAGAAATGAAACGACAAAACCCAGAATTGTAATAAAGCCCTGCAGGAATAGTGGGGTGCGATTCTGCCAGCGAAATCACATCATCTTGAAGAGTTACCTATCAACTGGGAAGTGTCCCTGGAAGTCGACGTCTCCTCTCAGCGACAATCGGTGTTGTTAACAATCGAAGAAGGCGAAAACCTTATTTATGAGGAAAATTTACCGTGCTGGCAACCATTTCCAGGAAACCGTTTAAACCCGCTCTTGGCAACCAATACCACTGAGTGCCAAACATTACACCAAGAACCTCGCATCTCTTTTACCTCTAAGGTAATAAAAGAAGCGAAACATGTCAGAAAAATGATGGCTTGCTGCTTCCCTCTTTAAAAGTGAACGAAATCATCAGATGTGAGCAAAATTACGGAAAATCAGCGCCTAAATTGCACTAAACGCGGTAATGTTCGTGGCGATGGCGATGTGTGTTCGTCTCCACTGCATTACATTTATAAACAATGTCTGTTTACAAAGCCACGATTACTTCGCATACTTCGGTTACAACCAAGGCAGTTCGGAAAACACTATCATCAATAATGATATGTGTGTGCTTTACAAATCATCAATGTCGTTTTTTTTGAAAACTAAACAATTAAAAATGCGCCTCGTGACAATGAAAATACCCAACCGTCTGGGCTTCGGACAGCTGCCAAAACAAGAGGTAACCAAGGCAACCAAAATGACAAGCAGAAAAACGCGCGCATGCATCGAGGATTGAGATCACAACACTGGGCACAGTGCTAACCTTGTCGGGGAAGTGGACTCCTCAGCAACGCTACAATTGATCAGAAACAAGTGGAATCTGAGAGGGGGGGTGGTGGGAAAGGGGGCTAGCGACTCCAGCAGATGTGGGACCTTACTTTTGGTAGACGCTCTGTCGCCCGAAAACGCTGAACGAACCACTTCCGGTGCTGCCTCTGTGACGACCAGATGCTGCGGCGGGCATTTGGTCGGCGGGGAGCAGCGCCGTCTCAGCGTCTGCCGCCGAGCTGCGAGGTGAATATGCGGGCTTGTGAAGTGGCTCAACGTCATACAAAGAACCCATGCAAAACCAACCACCTGGACTACGTGCTTGTGTAAGCGTGAGAGCACAAGCAGGCGAAAATTCAAGCAAATTGGGAACGGGGCGTAAAAGGGGTAATCTAACGCAGAGCGTTTGATCTTTAGCAGCGTCGGTTGTACGCTTCAACTACTGTCAGGGCAATAAGGTCACACACTACCAATGGTTGTGAAGAGTTATTTAAGGTCAGAGATTACGGGTTTGGGTGCTACAATGGCGTTATCTCCTCGCTAATGAGAATTAGTCAGCGATCGCAATCTGATTCATGGCATGCCACTGACAATGCAAAAACCAAATCCGACCCAAATTACAACGATTAATCAGAAAAATACTCTTGCGAAGGATTGCCACGAGGTGATCTGCATAATGTCCCTGTTCAACCAATGTTGCGCCTTAAGTAGATGCCACTGAACTCAATAATTCTTCAAAATCTTAGTAGGTGACGATCGTTTTGCTATCGTTCCCAAACTGACTAAGTCGCTAATAGGATTTCAATGATTCGTTGTGAAGAAAAATCCAACCTCGCTTGTGTAGCCAGAAGTACCGGTAGCCTGACCCAACCCAATGGCCCATGGACCATCAACGCACGAGTAGTGGTTTCGACAACTCTGTACTGGAGATCATCGTCGTTTCCTCTAGCAGGCGCACCTTCACCTGAAAGACGACTGCCTCGCGAATCTGACCTCGTACATTTGCCGTGGATTCCATAGTGTCGCATGCGGCTTTCCTTGCAGACTTCATCACAGCACAAAACTCTCGTAGCGATACTTTGAAGGGTGTGCTGATGCGTGACAAGAGCGTTGGGTTCCCCCAACCCAATTAGAGGTGGTCGGAAAGAAA